TGTAGGGAATGCTTTTTGGAGACCCTGGGATTCCAGAAGTTAGTGCCTAGTGCCAGCCTCTGGCAGTGCTGGGATGCCAGCCCAGTCCTTCAACGTCCCCGCCCTGCCTGCCCGGCCCGGCTTGATGTTTCTGGCCTTCCCCAGGCTGGGTGACTGTCACCAGCCCACTTTCTCCACACAGCTCTCCAGCATCTTGGGGGGATGGGGGGCAGGATCCAGACAAGAAGCCTGCTTTCTTTCCCTTTTAAGGGTCATGGACATTGGCTCCCCTATCTGGAGGTCAGGCTTCAAAAACCTCAGCCCTGTGGGAAATACCTTAATCCAGGAGGGTGGCAGGAGTAGCAGTCAGGGAGCACCCCTGCCTGGACCCTAGCAGTTATTCTCAGAGTGAGGTCAGAGCTGTCTTGGCGTCACCAGGGACAGGGGCAGGACTCTGCATACTTAACGTTATTTGTGTACTCACTAAGGTCTGAGAGCCACTGTCTTAGGCCGTCCCTCCGTTGCTGGTGCTTTTTTATTTTTTTATTTTTTTTGCGGTACACGGGCCTCTCACAGTTGTGGCCTCTCCCGTTGCGGAGCACAGGCTCCGGACGTGCAGGCTCAGCGGCCATGGCTCCCGGGCCCAGCCGCTCCGCGGCATGTGGGATCTTCCCGGACCGGGGCACGAGCCCGTGTCCCCCGCATCGGCAGGCGGACTCTCAACCACTGCGCCACCAGGGAAGCCCTGCTGGTGCATTTTTAATGACCGGTATGGAGTTCCTGCTATGTGCCAGGTAGTGTTTGAGACCCTTTTGATACTACAGGTACAGCCCAAGTCCCTGCTCTCAAGGCCTTATGTTTTAATGTGTAAGACAGGCAGTTGGCATGTTTACGAACAAAATGGTGTCAGGTATGAGAGTTGTGAATAGGTAACATTTTTTGAACACTTTATGTTCCAAAATCAGACTGGCTGAGTTCAAATTCAGAAAATTGCCTACTACTTTCTTCCTCAGTTTTCTTATCTGTAGGGTGGGGGTAGTAATGATCCCTACAGTACAGGTTTCTTGTGCGGATCCGATGAGCCAATCCACATATGGCACTCAGAACAACGCCTGGAACATTGTAAGCACTCGCTGAATGTTAGTGCTCATTTTCGTGATGTTGTCATCATTATCATCACTGTTTGCTGGGCCTGTTCTAAGCCTTCCACATACATTAACTTATTTAATCCTCAGACCAGTCAGTCTTATGAAGTAGTCACTGTTACTGTCTATTTTGGAGATAAGAAAACTGAGACTAAGTAACCTGCATAAAGTCAAACAGCTGGTCCTGGCCTGTCTTCCTCCAGTGACTGTGATGAGGTTCAAATGAGATAATGTCTGTTGAGCACTTGGTGAACTGCAAAACTAAACTGTGGAGGGCCCTAGTTTTATCTGGTTCGAGGGGGCCCTGTGATTTGTTGCCCCACTGATACGTGCAGAGAATTCACCCCAATAATATTTTCTTTGGATGGTCTCAATTAAACACCTCTTTGTAAAAAATTTTTTGTCCTTCAAGGTACTTTAAATCTTAAACTGGACACCAAAAAAAAAAAAAAAATTTTTTTTTTTTTTTTTTTTTTGCCACACCACGCGGCATGCAGGATCTTAGTTCCCTGACGAGGATCGAACCTGCGCCCCCTGCAGTGGAAGCGTGGAAGTCCCTAGACATATCAAATTGGTGGGAAGGCAGAGGGTGGCAGGCACAGGGCCTTCAGAAAGGACAGCTGGCAGCACTGGGGGAGGTGCCAGAAAGACACAAAAGCAGCACTGCTGCCCCATCATGCCACCCACCCCAGTGAAGAGATACACACAGCTGTATAACTAAAAATGGTAGAACTCTAGGCATTCTAAGCAGTAGATATGGAAAGACTGATAATGCTATCCATAGCTTCCAGAACAGCCCAGGGATTAAAAAAAAAGCCAAAAGGAATAAATTAAACTTTATCATTCTTATGAAAAGTAGGAAAATTAGAAAAGAAATTAAGCAAGGTAAACAGAAAATATAAAGTAAAATGGTAGAAACTAGTTCACATATTCAGTAAAAAGTATAAACTGGCAATATAACAAGAGAAATTGAGGGATCAAGTATAATAGTGGGAGAGGTCCAAAGGCCAAAAGCCTACAGTGCAGCCCTCAGCTCCCCAAAATACTGCACGCACACACACTTAAAAAAAAAAAAAGATACACACAGATGCCCACTTCTTTGTTACTTCTGGAAGGCTCTCCCCAGCCCCTAACCAGTTTGGCTCCCAGGACTTGGTACTTGTTTGGTACAGAATTGTCTCAGCTTGTTGATGCAGACTCTGGACTGAGGACTTTATATGAAGATGACCTTGTGGTTTTGGTGGGCATTCTCCATCCAAGAGGTCAGGGCAGGAGATAGTAAATTTTAAACAGATTTCCAACATAAACGGTTGAAACGAGGTCAGCCTCAGGTACAGGTGATGGCGTGTGACTCGCCCTTGCTGGTACCCCTCCCCTCCACCAGGTATGTGTCCTGCTGTCTCCAGGAGCCCCTCAAGGGCTCGTAAGAAGACAGTGGAAATGTGGCTGCTTGTAGGTGCTTTGTTGCCCCAAAGCACGTCTCTCCGCCTATGTCTTTCTCAGTCACCTGGAATCTCGAGTCTGATTTCGGGGTCACTGAGACAACCAAGAGGGGAGGTCTCTGACTCCTCTGTCTCCTTCTCTTCTCTCCCTTCCCTTTGGACTTGGAGACATCAATAGGAGGTGCCACTGTGTCCTGGCCGCAGCCCAAGCCTGCCGCTACTGCCACCGCCGACATCTGGGGAGACTTTACCAAATCCACAGGGTGAGGAGGGTCATGTTCTCTGTGGGGGACTGGGGCCAAGGCTGTTTCTCTCAAAAACCTGGGAGCAACAGCTCTGGTTCAGACATTTTCCGTCCAGCCAGAGGACAGAGCCCCAGAGTGCCCACTTTGGGAGGCATGTTTCTCTCCGGGAAGGCTTTTTGCTGGTGTCCACTGCTGGGTGGCCTGGAGCCACCTTCTGCAACTCTTTCTGGTCTTTAAACCACCTCACCAAGTGCTTTGGCTTGTCACCAGTACCTCCCTCTTCCCCTCCTCCCCTGCAGCTACCCTAGGATACTGGGCTGAGAGTTAACCTGGGTTCTGGCCTTGGCCCATTGTCATGGGACCTCTGAGGCAGGGTCTCTTGCCTTTTCTGCTTCCTTAAAATTTCGAGCCTTTACTTGGCGTCAGGGTGAAGAGATGCTAAATACTAGTCACACAGTTTATGTGGACAAGCTCTAGGACAGGAGTCGGCACACATTTTCTATGAAGGACCAGGAAGCAAATAGTTTAGACTATGCAGACCATGTGGTCTCTGTTCCAGCTACTCAGCACTGTTCTTGTAGCTCAAAAGCAGCCACAGACAGTATATAAATGAATGAGCATGGCTCTGTACAAATAAAACTTTACCTACTAAAACAGGCAGAGGACTAGATTTGGTCTAGTCCTGGGCTGTAGTTTGCTGACCCCTGTTCTAGAACATTCGGGGACTGGCCTTTTGGAGCTCTTTCTGCCCAGAAAGAAGTCACGTTTTATCTGCTTTGTATTTTCAGATATCTGAAATCTCCCACCCCTCCCTATCTAACCTTTCCAGGTCGACCTCCAGCCAGACTCAGCCAGGCACAGGCTGGGTCCAGTTCTGACCTGAGCACAACTCTTTTTCCTCATACAACTTCTGGGAAGGAGCTGCCTCATCTGGGCGGAAGGAAGGAGGATGAAGCACTCCCTGGCCAGCCTCTGTTTGGCGCATGACTCTCTCCTCTCCTCTTCCTTGCCTGGACTCTCCTGACAGACTGGGCGTGTTAGGCAGTAAATTGGCACGCTGTTTCCTGGGATTGGCACGCTGTTTCCTGGGATTGGCACGCTGTTTCCTGGGATTCGAGTGTCCAGAACACAGGAGAAGAGTTCCAGGATCCCTATCCCTGTCTGTCCTCTTGACATGAGAGAGACTCCGAGACTTCTTCCATCGCAAAGACTCGTATTAAACACAAGCCCCTGAAGCAAAAGAAGGGGTCGAGTGTGCTGCCTGGATTCAGATCAGCCCTTCTGGAGGGGGGGGGGGTTACAGGTGTCACGTGATCAGTGTCTGGAGGGGGGCTTTCCTCACTCCCATTGGCTGTAGCCATTCCGGTCAGGTGCCTTAAGAGGAGGGATTCCTTCCTGATTTCTAGCAGGTTTATAGGCTGCAGCTTGAACAGATAATCAGGAGGGAAATCAAGAGTATTAACCAGACTTTTAAGATTTTTTTGATACTTGCTTTGCTAACATGCTGATCTGCACTAACTCATTGTCTTTGCAAAAGGCTTGCTTCTGTAGTTTGCGCCCGCAGGGGCCTCTGAAAGCATTCCTCACTGTCAGTCGCAGGAGCTGCTCCGAACCCCAGGAAACAGTGTTTGTCTCGGCTATGGGGCCTGGTTTCCGTGTTTGCCAGGCTGGGCAGACGCTGGAAACCAGGTGCGACAGTGTTTGGGCTGGAAAGTGGCAGCTGTTCTCATGTAGGTGGGGCTTTGGCCTTCCTGTTCGCTGGCAGCTCTCTGGGCTCACAGTGCAGTTCCTGGCGGACTTGGGTTTTCTCCTGGGTGGTTTCTGAAGTGCCTTGTCTGCAGACAACCTCTTACTTTCTTTTCTCCTTCAGGGACTGTACATGACAGACAGAAAGAGTTCTGAAGCAACTGGAAGTCTAGGGTTGCCTGGTTTATAAGAAATAATTTTATCTGAGCACAACCTCTAAAATTGCTTTTATCGACATACGTTACCTCTTAATTGAAAGATTTCTTTTTTTGAAGGGTCAAGATGATGAACTGAATGAAAAGTGTTAGCCCCTTTGTGGGACCAGATTTCTAAGATAAAAAATAAATATTTCTACTCTGTCAGTGTATGTCAAAGATGGAAGTGTTTTTGGCGGCATGGCTGCTAAACCCTCCAGGATGCCTCAGCCACCTCTCACCACTGAGCATTTGTCCAGACTTTAAAAAGTCTGGGGCCACAGTGACAGATTGGCTAAAATAAGGGAATTTGGCCCTCTTGCCCTAAGGCAACCAGCAATTTCCCTTCCACATAGAAGAGACAGTCTTTCTGCCATTCTGGGACGTTCTGGGCTCCTTGCCTTCTAATGTGGGAGGAGTCCTGACTCCCACCAAGACCTCCCCGTAGAAGCATCTTCCTAAATAGTAAGGGTGTCTGGGCACACAGAGGCCAAAAAATAGATAAAGGCCTTGGTGCTTGTCATGTCTGTGGGTTCTGTAAGAAAGATGCATTTTTGTTGTTGGTTATAGAAATGGCCACTCTGGCTAATAAACTGTGTAAGGGAGGACGAAGAAAATTGGAATTGAGGATCCTCCTGTCCTTGGAATAAGGAAAAGGAAATTGCATCAAGGGATTCTCAGGGGTGGTAAACTTCTTTGTGTCTGCTTCCCATTACTCCCCATCTTCTTTATAAGTGCTTAGAGGCTAGAAAAGAGGAAGCTTAGAGTTAGAGGAGACCCTTAACCAGAAGTATATACCATTGAAGGTAAGCCCTTGGGTCCTGCAGACAGACCTGGGCTTTGATCTAGGTTGTCTACTGGTAAATGTGTGACCACAGGCTCCTTAAGCCAAGTGTCACTCAGATGAGGCATATGAAGCACTAGCAGGTGCCCATCCTATAATTTGACCTTGATCACCTTGGTGTAGAATCAGGTGACGCATCCAGAACCATTACTCATAATGGTGCTGATAAGGCAGCTGATGAAGAAACAGCAGTCAAAAAATCTGACCTGAAAAGCACCTTGAGGGGTCTCTGGCGGGCAGGGGATAGTCTGATGCTCTCCATCACCAACTGGAATTCCCAGCTACGGGACCAGGGTCCCCAGGGAAACTCCCAGTGCCAAACCAGGCATCTCTTCGCTTACACCCTTGACTGGAGCTTCCAAATTGGTGGAGTGGGGGTAAGAGATGGGTGTTGGGTTTGGGGATTTTGAGACCTGAGCTGCTTTCTGTACAGCAGGAGGACTTGGACACATTGAGGTGGCAGGCGGACTACAGCAAGATGTTTCCATGATTAAATGACGTAGCATTGCAACATCTGTCTTGCTTTAAAGAAACCACCTGCCATGTTGTGTGAATTGCCCTAATCCGAGGGTCACAGTGTCAAGGTGGCAAAAGTAGCCTCTGCCGATAGCCAACAAATAGCTGAAGCTCTTAGGCCAGCGGTCTGCACGGAACCGGATGCTACCAAAACCACCTGAGCTGGGAAAAAGAGCCTTCCTCAGTTGATCCTCAGATGAGCCCCGCCTGCCAACACTGCGAGTGCAGCCTTACAGAGGACCCAGCCAAGTTGTGCCCAGACTCCTAACCCCTGGAAACTGAGTTAGTAAATGTGTTTTAAGCTGCGAAGATGTTGGTTATATCATTAGGCAGCAATAGATAACTAATACAAGAGGTGAGTGAAGGGCATTGGAGATGGGAGTCAGTGTGAGAAAAGAGTCTGGACAGGGACCTCCCTGGTCACGCATGGTTAAGAATCCACCTGCCAGTGCAGGGGACACGGGTTCGAGCCCTGGTCCGGGAAGATCCCACATGCCATGTAGCAACTGAGCCCATGTGCCACAACTACTGAGCGTGTGCTCTAGAGACAGCCACAACTAGTGAGCCTATGTGCCACAACTACTGAAGCCCATGCGCCTAGAGCCCATGCTCTGCAACGAGAGAAACCACCAAAATGAGAAGCCTGCACATCGCAATGAAGAGTATCCCCTGCTCGCCGCAACCAGAGAAAAGCCCGCGCGCAGCAACGAGGACCCAACGCAGCAAAAAATTTAGAAAAGGAGAATCCTCCTGCCAATGCAGGGGACACGGGTTCAAACCCTGGTCCAGGAAGATCCAACATGTGACGGAGCAGCAGAGCCCCTGCACCACAGCTACTGAGCCTGAGTGCCACAGGTACTGAAGCCCGAGCGCCTAGAGCCCGTGCTCCGCGACAAGAGAAGCCACCGCAATGAGAAGCCCGCGCACCGCAATGAAGAGTAGCCCCTGCTCACCGCAACTAGAGAAAGCCCGGGAACAGCAACGAAGACACAATGCAGCCAAATTTTTTTTTTTTAAGTGGACAGATTTAATGGCTGTATGGCCTTGGGAGATCACTTAACCTGCTCCTTGGGGGCCTCACTTTCCCTGTATGTGGACAGCAACTATTGCTTATGTGCTGCTTACTCTGCGCAAGGCACTGTTCTATACACTTAACATAAAATTCATTTCGGGCAGTCCAGTGGTTAAGACTCCTCGTCCCCACTACAGGTGGCACGGGTTCGATCCCTGGTCGGAGAACTAATATCCTGCAAGCTGTGCGGCCTAAATAAATAAATAAATAATTTTTAAAGATTCATTTCATTGTCACAACAGCCCTATGAGATACTCATCCCTGTTTTACAAGTGATGAGACTGAAGCACAGTGAGATTATGTAATTTGCCCAAAGTCACATAGCTGCTAAGTTGGAACTCAGGCAGCCTGGCTCTAGCATCCATGCTTTTAATCAGGTTGATCTTGAGTGGTGCTGCTGACAGGGCTGGCACCTAAGACCTGCCTAATACATGTAAGTTCCCATTCCCTCCATGTGGATTAAGAAAGCCCTAATATGGGGGCTTCCCTGGTGGCGCAGTGGTTGAGAGTCCGCCTGCCGATGCAGGGGACACGGGTTCACGCCCCGG